TTTTTATGTATCGCCCAAAATGTACAATTTCCAGCTATGTGGTCATTGGATAACTGCGAAGAATGTGCGAGCTCACGTGGCTACCCATCTTACCATTAGAAGGTATTTGATCTACGAACCAAACTCAATGTTATTGGTTAAAAAAGTCTTTATTTTTGCAGGCTTCGGTGCACTAGCTGTGGTCAAGGATTTGATCGGATGAATCGAGCCTCGATCCACATTGACAAGAGCCATCCCGGTGATCCCAAGGCGAAAATAGAGTCGGCAATGTAAGTTCAATTCGAGGCCTACCAAATGTGTGAACCATGCAAAATTGTGGACCACAATAATCATGAAATTCTGTTTCGGCATAGAAGACAAGAACGCTAGTAAAAGCTGCGATGGAATGAACCATAAGCATGAGATATGAAATTGACAACAGAATAAAAGATTTTATCATACTCTAAAAGTGAAGAGGAACAAAAATTCTTTTTAGCGTTGAGATTGATAACAATTATTTTTTGGCAACTGTAATACGCGATGGAGGGTTTTGCAAGCAAGGGTTGTTCAACTTTATCCTGCATCACCTTCATGAAGTGCGAAACACTGCAAAAACCTGCTTGGCAAACAGAAAAAATACCAAGCAAGATCAAGCCCAAATATTCCGTTCCTTTTTATATAAGGGAAATGAGAAACACCAAATAAGTTTTTTTGGAACTCATCAATAAGGAATAAATACATTTGAGATGAGTGACTCGCCAGAAAATATTTGATAATGATTGAAAATGTAACTTGGTAGAATAAAACATTCGGTGAATGAAAAAAATTCGATGCGCCAAAAAGCTTAAGGAATGTTCCTCTTTTGTTCTATTCGCCTGCTTTCTTGGCACTCTTAAAAAGCAGTGTCCGGGCAAAAAGTCGATTCTGAGATTTTGTGTTTATGCGGGCTTATTCGCTATGCTGAATTTGAAGTTTATACTGGAGAGCGCGAAGTTGGCGAAAATGGGCTCTAATGCAGGAGGGAAACGAGCAGGTAGGCAGGGTCTTCCCCACTGCGAAATCATGCTCACAGCCTCAGGAGCGATTTTCTCGATTCCGATTTCAAGTAACGTAGATCTTCCGCATTTGGCCGGTGGCGATTTCAAGGCGGCTAGCGGAAATGAGAAGATCAATCCGAAAGCTGGAGCATAAATTCACTGTGGGGATACCGCCCACATACTGATTTCCCTTCTAGGTTAGAGCACTTTTTCGCCATTGCTTTCTACAGTGTGGATTTTGAGATTCAGCATAGCGAATAAGCCTGGGTAAGCACAAAATCTCAAAATAGACTTTTGCCCGGACACTCTCCAAAGATGCTCACTCCCTTTTGCCCGCGCTACCCTCAAAACCTTCAGAAGCCGCAGTATTTCCGATAGTTCTTTTGCGAAGTCATTGGTGTGCCGCGGTTTGCCCGATATAAAATGCGTGGTCCGCAGCGCACTAGACCGAAAACTCAATTTCGAGGCCCTCTGCGTACCAAGCTGAAATTTTAGAGGTTTGGGTTCTTTACCTGTGGTTGCGAACTTTCCAACATTGTCTGAGAAAGTCTAGTAGAGTAGCAATACTTGGTTTTTACGAGTATAAAAGTTGCACAACTCCAAAGAATGTGCGGAACGCCGACCCATTTGGGATATATAAGCTCGAAGCATTCTCTACTTCGGCGCATTACGACCAACGCGTAAGTGTTGTCTGCACCGCAGGGGCACTATCTCAGCTCCGCTAAAGAGTTGAAGACCAAAGCGGACCCGTATGAAATAGGTGCACGCGAATGCGGTGCGCGAGCAGTCATCCGTCCCTACTGTGTGCATGAACTACCACCGATGATAGGTGCTCGCGCCGCGTTCGCGCCTGTCTCGCGAGCATCATCGTGCGCCTTCGCCCGGGACTGACCTTTAGCTGGAAAGTAACAAATAGTAACCTTTTTACAAGTATAAGATAAAGCTTTTCTTGAGGGTACGCATATTTTATCTTATCGCGAAATACGCATGTTCACCATTATTTCAGAGTACTGTAGCCCTTAGTTTATAGCTATGTTTTATTATTTTTTAATATTTCTTGAAAATGCAATTTGCTTGTAGGAACCCCGAGCAAAAGAAGGAGATCGAAATGTTGGCCCGTAGATGTTTCCCCCGTAAAAGCCGCTCTGCCGCTGTTCATGAAACCACCTAAATGATAACTATCCTTTTTCCTTTGTGCACAGCTTATTGGCATTTAGGTGATTCAACGAGATCTTTTGCTTTTTTGCTTTCTTTCAAGCCGAGCATATGAATTACCTTTTGAAGGCTATATGTGTTGTTTATAGTTTTATGTGTAGAAAAATTACGAGTACCTCTTCATACCTTTGTGTTTGTTCTTCGATACTCTGTACAATTGAAATCTTTCGGAGTCATTGTCATTTACAAAAAGCATAAAAATGTTTTGAATATTG